GCCAAAAGACAACCGAAAGAATCTGTTAAGTATTTTAATAAAGCAAAAAAACAAAAACAAAAAAGAGACTTGTCTGGTTCAGAAGTACTTCAAATAATGGGAAATGATGTAACAACTGAACATGGTCTGTTTTTCCACCACATTCTTCAGCTTGTTATGAACCATTGATTTAAAATATAGATTTAGTGGGTTCATCCTTCTACCTGTTTCCTCCACTTTGTTAATTCAAAATATCGAAAGAAATAGGAAACACTTAACAACTCCTTCAATTTTTAAGTTGTTATAAAAATTGAATTGTAAATTGTTCGTAACGCCCATGATGAAGCGCAAGCCGATGAGGACTGGTTAAAGAGAAAGAAATGATCTACTCCCTCCGGCCCACTTTAAGGGTTTGTTCGGAAAGCTATAATGTAATTGGAATTGGTGTAATTATTAAAAAAATAATTACACAAACTAATAATTACACAATAATATAGTTACGACGACTTATTTGTTTGTCATAATGTAATTGAAGTGTAATTACAAGTGTACTGTTTGATTGCACAATTAGATTAAATTTTAAAATAAAATAATTATCAAAAATTAGAAGTTAGGATTTAACAAATATATGCCTTTATAAATAATATTAAATTTGATATTTAAGATACATATTGTTTCTTGAAAATATATTAATTACTAATCATACATTTGTCACTAATATTGTAAAATCATTGATATATATTTTTTAAATTAATAATATATTACTTTAATTATAAAAACTAAAAGTATATATTTTGTAAGAACATCATGGACTTCATGCTTTATAAAATAATTAATAATTATAAATATAATGCCATAACATTACTCAAATATTTTACGGAAAAAATAATACATCAATTCTAACAGAAATATGTATGACATGCAATCTGAATTATTAAGTGAATATTACTACAACAACAACAACAACAACAAAAAAACCCAATGCAATTCCACATAGTGGGGGTCTGGGGAGGGTAATGTGTACGCAGACCTTACCCCTACCTTATGAAGGAAGATAGGTTATTTACGATAGATCCTCAGCTCTAGAAAAGTGAATACTAATAAAGCAAATAAAATGAAATAAAGGATATAACTGTCACGACCCAAACCGAACGGCCGCGATGGACACCCGATATTTTACTTAACTGAGTACCAATATAACGCATCTTTCTTATCATTCTATCATAGGTAAATGAACCGGAGTAAAACATGAGAGAATACAAACTTATATATTCGACATACTAGCCTATAAGACCAAAATGATCACTTGCACACTAAACATAGGCCGACAAGGTCATACAATCTATCACGTACACGACATATATCTACAAGCCTCTAAGTGTACATAAATGTCATAAAGGTCGGGTTAGGGCACAACCATACTAATCAATACATGTCCTAATCATACTGACCAAATAAGCAATCCCGGAGCAATGGAGTGCATCAACATATTCCGCTGAGCTGATAGCCTACTTTGAGGACTCTTGACCTGTCTATCAGGACCTGCGGGCATGAAATGCAGCGTCCCCCGGCAAAAGGGATGCCAGTACAAATAATGTGTCGAGTATGTAAGGAATAAAAATCAATAAATAATAGAAATGAGAGAAACGTAGAGTAAAAGACTCGACATGTAAGTTTGAATAACTCTGTAAATAATAAATACTCATAATGTCATGCATATGCGTATGTATGTCATGTCGTGCATAGGTACATGTGTTCATAACATCATCAAGTATTTGAGGGCATACCATCATATCATCTCGGCCACTATGGGCAAATCATCAACGAATACCAACTGATCAGGTGGTGGTGTGTATATAACGTCGTAACCTTTTCTCATATCCCATATACATATATATATATATATATATATATANGTGTCATAAGACCATTATGCCTTTGATTAATATCATGAAATAAACTTTATCAACTTACATATTTTCTGAGATCCATGAACAGATTATAGAATAATATGACACATGGGGAATCAAGAACATAGGAATCTCTAGTATTTCTATGAATAGAGTCATTTATGGGAGTTGTGCATTTGCTCATTTTGTTTGTGTCGTATAGATCATGCCAAAAGGAAAAAAAGGATAGCCTTAACATACCTGAGCCGGTTCTCTGGACAACCCTTCTAACACACGATAATTGTGACAAAATTCATGACGACAAGATCGGAGTAGAGAAAAATCCGTATGATATTTTTGAGAAAAATTATACCGGCTTATTTAGAATTGCAAAGAAAATATCACGTTGCTGTGAGCTTGAATTCTTGTTGAATCAGAACATGTCACATTACTAAGCTTCATGTGGAATCGTTTGAGAATCCAAATCCCATCTTTTACTAAATCTCTTAATCCATCTCCTTAAGTGATTTTTGGAGACATTTTTGTTATAGGTGTGGATCCCACTTTGGCAAGGTGACTAAGCCATTAATTCCCAAGACTTTGCCACCTTAAAGTGTAGTTTATGAGTCATAATTCAAGAAATGTTTGGCTGCCATATTCCATAATCTCACGTGGCTTGCCCCTTAATATTTTTCCAAGATAATTATCCCAAACTTTTAATTAATCTGTTAACTTCCTACTCAAATCAATAATTAACCAAATGTCCACATAGTTAAGAATTATCTCAAATTACTTAAAATACTACTCACTTGTAACATACCTCATATACTTCACTATCATGGTCGTGTGGTACCTTGTATGACACTAGTCCATAAATACTGGATATTTTAGCTCGGGCCGTATTGTATCCCAGAATAACAAACTTCGACGAAATTCATTTTCTTCAATTTGCTTACCCCCTCACCTTAACGAATTAACTTATCGCTTATTTGAAATAGCGTAATACTTAAAATCCCAAAATAAATCTCATTCCCGAACTTACGTCGATTAACTTACGATGAAACTTCAATGTACAAAAATGCGGGACGTAATATCTCACTTACGATCTGATATCAATTTGCTTGTGGCGTACTTTCACGTACAAAAACATGGGGTGTAACATCATTTCCCCATTTGGAACATTCATCCTCGAATGTTGACTGATGCACTTATCATTCTCACAACCCATAGCTCTTGCGAATACTTTAGTATTCCTCTTGCCATCTAGGTGACTGTTCTGTGAATGAATCCCAAAGGCCAGGGCATCCCCCCTTTAAGACTCTTTCTCACACCACGACTTGTAGTCGGAATCCTTCTAATCTTGTAATTGTTGCTACCTTCTATCATGCAGCCTTTATGACTCTAACTTTGTATGTGCGCCTGACTCCTCTCTTCTCTTTCCTCCAGCTTTTAGCCAATCTCTAGGCTTCACTTTGTGAACATATACAAAATTATGTCAAGCTATCCATCTGGACTTCATTAGCTTTATACATCTAAGTAGGTCATACTATACCAAAATTCTTACTTCGATTTATCGTTACTGAGGTCTGCTACCAAACTCCAAGTTACTCTCATTGCTTATCATATATGCATAAATCTAAATCCTTTAATGCTTCTTGATTACTGTTCATCTTAAGACTGATGGCCTAATCTCATCTCGTACTTTGCAACTTTTACCCATCCATTGTTGATTCACCTCAATGTTGATCTATCATCAACCATTGATAACTTGAAATTTCTTACGTAATATATTGCCACTAGGGCTTACGTTCCATCATGGAATATTTGAATTGATTTTCCTGATCCAATTAGGGGCGATATTGTACTTCAATAATCGTATTTTATAGCATCCCAATGTAATTCACCTTACGTGGTGTCACACCTCCTTTTTGCGCGCCCGCCCCGAAGGGTAAGATGCGCGAGAGAGTTTTTCCAATTTAAGTGACAATATTCGAAATGGGATTATTTATTTAATTCAGAGTCGCCACTTGGGAAAGTTTTGGCTTTTGGTGTCCCAAGTCACCGGTTTATCTTGAATCCCAAATCGAGGAAATTTTCGACTTTCCAAATGAAGTCTGCGAACCAGAAATTCTAAGTAAGGAATTCTGTTGACCCGAGGGAAGGTGTTAGGCACTCTCGAATCCCGTGGTTCCAGCACGGTCGCTTAAATTGTTATTATGGCTAAATATCTGATTTAAATACATGTTATGACCTATGTGCTTTTATTAAGTTTAAAACCGCTTTTATTATTATCATTTATTTTTTATAGAATTGCAACGTCATGAAAATGCATCTCGAACCACGTCACAATCAATGCACCCATAGTTGTTAACACATTTCGACTCCGTTGAGATTTGAATTTGGGTCACATAATTGCGCACCCGAATTTAAGAATGTAATTTAATTAAGTCGCGCCTAAAGAGTCTAACGCGTTATTATCTTTGGGGAAGGCAGTGCAATTCACTAAACAGTCCATCCCAAATTCTAAGTATTTATTACGATCAATTATTGAGGGCCCCGCAATTTGCATTTTTATTTGGCGAGACTCGTCTCATAATTTTTAAAAGGATAATCTTAGCACGACTACATTTTCTGTTTTTTGTTTTCTAAAATAAATGAAGATAAGGTCCTACTTTATTTACATACTTTCGAGTTATTATGGTTAAGTTCCAAAAGTGAGTTGTTTAAAGGGTTTGCATGACAACGCATAGAATATTCTACATACAGACAGAATAGAAAGAAAAGGCTACATTAAATTACAACTTCAAATCTTTCTCATTTTTGCATTCATGCTTCGAGTGGCTTACAAGATGAACCAGGGTATCAGTTTGTGTACCTGCTATTTGGAAAGCAAGGAAAGAAGATGAAGATCAGTAGAAGCAGCAGTAGTGTAAATACACAGCAACAACATCAACCCAACAGCAGCAATTCGAATCAGATTCAAAGCCCAGAAAACTTTGAAGAAAAACCGAACAACTCAAATAGAACAAACCCAAAGTTTGTAAACCAACTAAACAGCAACAACCCACGCGTTTATTAAAACCCGAAACTAAACTCGTTTCTCACTTTGTTTTTGTTTTCTCTTTTTAAACTCTATCGCACTCTCTCCAGATTTTCAGAATGTGTTCCTCTCTCAAGTCTTACTTTTCTATCTTNCTCTTTTACGTTCAAGTCCTCCTCTTTCTTTCCTTCCTCCTCCGGAGCGTCTTCTTTCTTGCCCTCGCCCTCCTTCTTAGCCTCTTCTTTCTTCCCTTCTTCTTTCTTTGGTTCCTCTTTCTTCTCTGGCTCTTTTGCTGGTCCTACTGAGATTATGTGCACTGGCCAAAACTTCCTCAATTTGCTCACTACACTTACTGGATCAACCGTCCCGATGATAGTTAATTTCCTACCTTTCATATCCATTAAGATCTCATCAATTCCTGGAAGAGCAGAGACCGTCTTCAAGGCCTTACGTTTGTCTCTGACATCATGCACCTCCAAGTTCAAGATAAATTTCGGAGATGAATCAATGATGAACTCGATTGTAAACAAATCTGTCCGGGCCTCGACTCAACGAAAGACCTTCGAACTTTG